GAGAGAGAGAGAGAGAGAGAGAGAGAGAGAGAGAGTCTCTACATACTGTTGACCGTTCTGAAATCACTGCTTAGACTAGGCTGGCCTTGAACTCACTGAGATCCTCTTATCTCTGCCTCCTGAGTGCCCAGTGCCTATTAGGGATTGGAACTAGGGCCTCACAGATGCTATACAAGCACTCTACCACTGAGCTATGCCCCCAGGCTAAAAGTCTGAATCTTCCATGGATGGCTCATCTACTTCTAGGAGTTAGAGCATCCCTCCTACAGCTAAAATGTGATGTCCAACCAACTTTCAGCCCATCCCAACACATGACCCAAATAAAACCTGTGTGAAACGCAGCTAGAGGGAAAATTTTCCAATATTCTCACTTTGTAGAACTGTGGTGGAATCAACCAAATTCCTTTTGACACAAAACTTTGGTAGCTTCCAATGGGCATGACCACTGGTGGTTCTTCACCTCAACCAAATCAGGGTCTGTAGGCCCTGACTTGCAAAGTCCTCACAGGAAGAAAGTTATGTGCAAGCAGCCAATTGCTACCATATAATAATGGTGTGAGCCAGAAGCAGCTCTTGCGGCATCCAGATATCCTGCACAGAATCTAGCTGCAGGTCACTGAGGATGTAGGAATGCCCGGTGGCCAACCTGGTCAGTGGTTTTACGGGCACAGCTGAGCTCTGGGCTAACATCTCTCGTTGGGGCCCTGGGCAAGCACAATGGTATATCCACTTCTGGGAGGCTCCACATTACCTCTTCTTTCCAACCGTATTTGTTGGCAACTTTAGAGTTTTCTCTAGATAAGATCCTGCCATCGACTAATAGACAACTCCACTTCTTTTTCAGTTTTGATGTCCTTCATTTCTTTTCCTTTCCAAATTGCCCTAGCTAAGAATTCTAGTACTCTATTGAAGATAAAGGATAAGAGCAGAGAAAATCATCTCTCGCTGTACATTGAGTATGATTGTAGCTATGAGTTTTTTATATGTAGTCTTCACTATGCTCAGAAACATTTCTTCTGTATCCAATTTGTTATAAAATTTACCTTGAATGAATACTGAATTTTGTTAAGTTGATTTCTGTATTTATTGAGACAACTGTGTGATCTTTATTCTTCTTTGTGTCAAGGTTGTAACTAGCATTTATTGATTTTAACATGTTAAAATTGTACATATTCACTTTCAAGGGATAAATATTGCTTGGCCATGGTGAATAGTTTTGATGTACTATTGGCTTTGGTTGCCAGTGTTTTGCTGGGGAACTCTGCTTCTGTGTTCATTGGGAATATTGGCTTCTACTTCCCTTGGAGTATATATATCATAGTGATGCTAACTTTGTGCTTTTTTTATAAGTTTATTTTTTAATAATTTGTTTTTATTTTATATGCATTGGTGTTTAGCCTGCATGTATGTCTGTGTGAAGGTGTCAGATCTTGGAGTTACAGACAGTTGTGAACTGTCATGTGGGTGCTGGGAATTGAACCCAGGTCCTCTGGAAGAGCAGTCAAGGCTCTTAACTGCTGATTCATCTCTACAGGCCCCATTATGTTGACTTTGTGAATGAGTTGGACCCCTTCTCCTCTTTAGCTTTTTGGGAAGAGTTTAAGAAACGTTGATAGTAACTCTTCTTTGAATGTTTAGTAGAATTCAGTGACAATGTCATCTGATCCTGGGCTTTGATTTGTTGTTTTATATTTGTTTTTCTGTGATTCATACTTGCTAGGTTGTATATGTCTAGATATTTATCCACTTTGTTTAGGTTATACAATTTATTGTTTATATGATATTTCTCATAGCAATCTCTTGAGATCCATCTCTTTCTCTGGTGGTAGTTATAATGTCTCTTAAATTTTTAAATTTCATTTAATATTTGCCTTTTGTTGGCTTATCAGCGAACCATTTTATTTTATCGTTATCTTCAAGAGACTAACTTTTGCATTTGTTGATATTTTCATTTCATTTATTTTTGTACTGATCTCTATTATTCCTTCTTCGTGTTATCATTAGTGAACCTGGTTTGTTCTGCTTCCAGTTCCCTTGAGGTATAAATTTAAGTTTCTTACTATTTGAGATCTTTATTTGTTCCTTAAGTAGGTGCTTATCAACATCAACTTTTTGTTGAATGTATAAGTATTTGATTTGAGGAAGTATTTAATGGTGTTGATTTTTAAATGTCTGTTTTCAGTTGCTTCTTATTTTGACCTTCCTTTCCTCCCTTCTTTCCTTCCTCCTTCCCTCCCTCCTTCCCTCTCTCCCTCCTTCCCTCCCTTCCTTCCTTTCTCAAATGGGATCTCATTGTGTAGTCAGTCTAGACTGGCCTTGATCTAGCAATCTTTCTACTTCAGTCTGCTGAATGCCTAAAAAACAAACAAAAGAAGAAAAAATAAAACCAAAATTACACAAGCACATGAATACATCATAAATTTCTTAGGATTCTTTTCTGGGTAATCATGCTATCTGTAGACATTTTTCTATCTTGTCTCATTTGCTAGAATTTTTAGTAAGTAGTGAAGGTGCTTTCCCCAGAGGTAATTTTTCTTTTTCTTTTTTTTTGTGTGTGTGTGTTATGAATGCATGTGTATGCATATTTACACACGTGCAGGTGAAAGTGTGGGAGTGTACGTGTGTGGGTGCATGTGCAGGCCCAAGATTGATATCATTTGTCTTCCTTGATTGGTTGTAGGTTTTCTCTCTGAACTCAGCAATGTCTATTCTAGCTTGTCAGTGTACTCCAGGGATTTTCTGTCTCTGCTTCCTGAGTGCTGGGATTACAGGCAGCTGACACACCTTCCTGGTCTTCGGTGGATTCTGGGGAGCCAAACTTCAACCCACATGCTTGTGCAGCTAATGCTTTATTCGTGGAACCCTCTCCCCAGCTCCTTTGATTTACTTATTTTATTATTTTTTTCTGATTTTTGAGATCATAATATAACTGCCTACAACCACTGAGTTAGAACCATGGCTTCCCTTGAGTCAGTTAATGATCTCTACCAGTTCTGATATCGCTCAAACGATTCTGCTCCCCATTTCTAGGCTACCACCTGGTCAGAGCCATCATTATCTCTCTAGGTGAGTCTGAGCGTCTTTGAAGCCAATTGCCTGCTTTCCCTTGGATCTGGGTGCAGTCAGTACAGTGAATTTAAATCTGATTCTGTCACTGTGCAGCACATAGCAGGGACATGTGTCAAAAAGGCATGCCCATGACTTGGTGAGTACTTATCGGTTCTCACTTAGCTATAAATATAGAAAGTTAAGAGAATAAATGGCGGTACTGTATGCCTATAATTGCAGCTCTGGGGAGGCAGAGGCAGAATTTACGTATGTGTTAGGAAAGTGTCCATTTTGAAAGAAGCCCAGCCTCCTCAGTTTGGTCTAGAGAGCGCTTTGAAATCCAGTCCCT